TTGAGATTATTAAATCTACTGCCTTGAACTACTATATATATTTAAAACTTATTAGGCTCTAATAACTTAAAAAAAATTTTCTGAATACACAATTTTTGAGAAGTAAAAAGTATATAAAAACCAATTCAATTTAAGAATTTGCTTGTAAACCATTCTAGAACATGATTTCCTAATTTAATATATTTCCAAACTGAAGCTAAAATGTAATTTACATAAAACATAACAAAGTAATTTATGTAATGCATTCCTACTTTTCATTTCAAAAATAGAATTTCAAAGAGATAGGCCCACGCAATGGTAAAATCAGCTCAGTATCAATTTTCACTTACAGCTATTATCATTTCTGCTCATTACCCGAAATCTTTTTGGTCATTCGGTAAACTACCTAACTCTCCAGAAACTAAATCGCTGTCTTCGGACCTTTAGTCTGAAGACTGTAATGTAATTTAGATAATTTACCGAACTACCAAAAAGATTTCAGGTAATGAGCAGAAATTATAATAATAGCTGTAATGGACGGCTGTAGTGTTCCGCATGGATGGTTCCGGGCGAGTTTTTTTTACAGCTATTTTCATAATTCCTGAAACACCTGATGACCGAATGATGATCTGACCGATTCGATTAAGTGTGATTTCGGCACAATATATATAATTATAATATCTGGTATTGTACATACGTGCATACGTAATTTTTACATTACAGTTAATTAGTGCACTGGCACATGATTATTGCACCTGAATTACAAAAGTTTTGCCAGCACTATGAAAGTTTTGGTCAACGTTATTTAAATACAAAAATTAAAAATTGCGCAAATTTCTACCCTATATATAGAAGACATATGATACTTTCTACAGATAACTCTAACATTATAAATGTCGATAAGTTCAATATTATTATACTTTCATTTGAATGTTTGCCCAACAAGCTTAGTGTGCTTAGTTTGTGCGAAAACATATATGAGTGCCGTCAAGGAAAAATATGCCATCGGGCTTTCAATTTTATCTTGTACCGGATGTAAATCAAATAGGTTGAGTCCGACATAAAATATAATTGTAAGCCCGATGACAGGTTTTCCTTGACAGCACTCATATATATCCAATTTTAATGCAACCAGTGTTGGTCAAATTAATGGTCGACTATAAATTTGCTGGTCATTGGTCAAAGGGTTTCTGGTCAAACTGGTCTGGTCAAATTGGTCAAATAGTCTAGCAATATGAACCAAATTAACAAATTAGACCAATCAAGCAAATTTGATTATAGTTAAATTGGCCTAATTGGTCAATTTGTTCTTATAACTAGACCATTTGATCAACTTGACCAATGTCAAAGATGCTTGACCGGACTGGTCATTGGTCAAATTGGTCTGGTCAGCCAAACACTAAATGTAATCTATATGGTTACGGCACGATTCCCCGAAAGTTATTTACCCGCCAACACATTTCTCCGATACAGTAATGCCGACATACTATTTCATCTACAGCGATAAGACATATATTTGACATTACAAGTTTTTAACAATCCTTTTCTTAGACAAGACATTTTCCCGAAAACTATTTTCCGACATATAATTCTAACCAACACTTACTCTAAATCAGCTAACCCTAAAGTTAAATCAGGACAATTTTATGTCGAGGAAATGATTGTCGAAAACATTTAATATCAAATATATGTCTTATCGAAAAAATGAGCAGTAGATGAAATATCATGTCGGCATTACTGTATGGAGAAATGTGTTGGGAGGTAAATAACTTTCGGGGAATTGTGCGACAACCATCTATATATATGTAAAGTAGTTTACATGCGTACGTACCTGATCATGCCGAAATCAATAACTTAACCGAATTGACCGAAAATCATTCGGTCAATTTTTATCAAATGTTCCAGGAATTATGAACTCTGCAAATGATTTTATTATTTAGTCGTGGGTCGAATTTCAGGCACAAGATCCTAACTGCAGCCAATCAACGTGCATAATTGAAAAAGACTCGGAACCGACCCCGGTCCGGTACGGGTCTTCGGTTTGGTTCTACGGAACACTGAGCGGCTGTGATAAACTTCTGAGTAAATTTTTTGATCGTCGTTCTTAGCCAATAAAAATCGAGAATCAGATTTCAAGAAACAGGTGTAATGTATGATTAAAACAAACGTTCAATTTGTTAAAAATCGCTTATTTCTCAAAGATCTAGATAAAAAAAACATCTTGAGTACTTTAACAAAAAGTTTTTCTTGAGTGATTCTGCTATTTAACCTCCTAATCTCTAACCTTATTCTAATTTTGCAGATCGCACAGATGTTTTGTTTGCGTAACATTACAGCTGTTTTGAAACAATTGACCAAATGATTTGTCGATTCGATAGGTTTTTGATTTCGGTAGAGATGTGAACTGTGAATTCAATACATATAAATAAACAGTAACGGTAATTTATTTTAAACCTACAGTTTTGCGATTTCGACAGTGATAAACTTTTTATTTGAGTGATAAGTATACATTATTGGGCAGACGATAAAAAATAACAGGCCATTTTTTTTTTGTCGTACGTATGTTCAATAATGATGTTATCGGATAGTTAATATGACTATGTGAAGTTTTTTCTGTAATGATTTGCAAAACTGATTACGTAATTTCATGCAAAAAATATCATGGAAAAAAAATTTACATCATATGAAATATATGAAATATCGAATAACGATAATTATATATATCGATATTTTTTGCAATTGTATTTTGAACGATACTACAATGTCAACACATTCAAAATTAAGTTTTTATTTGAACGTATGTCCAATATGCTTGGTTATTATTGGTGTGTTGTTCTTTTCAACCAACAGATCTTGACAAAAAATTTCAAATATAAGACAAGCTTTCATTAATAAATACATTACACAAATAGGCGCTAATGAAAAAAAGTTCAATATGGACAAGAATTGATTAAAAATATATTACACAAGTTATCATTCTAAACAACCAAGATTTTATTAGATTTAAAAGTTTTAATATATAATGTATAAGTCATATGCCCAATGACAGGTTTTTCCTTTGATGACATTCAAATTTGATCAACACTAATTATCGCTTGCATCTCTAATTGGAAAGCCCAAGTTTTCTCTGCTCAGTGTTCATATATATGCACATTATTACATAATCAATCATTACCACTTATCGAATTGGCCAAACAATCATTCGGTCAATTTTTTTTACTAGAGGTCACAAAAATAACGAAAACAGTTTATTAGCAGACTTGTAGCCAAACCGTTAAACGGCTTGGCTTGAATGTCTAGCTCGCGGCTCAACTTAAGCTATTTGCATCAATAAAAATTCCCTGTATGTACTGAATTTTATAAAACCGAATTCTAAATTCAATACAGGCATGTTAATCCTTTTCAAAGTTCACATCAGTGATTATTTTTCACTGTGCAGACTGTGCGCAGCACACAGAATCAAAATTTTGCGTACAATTGAAAACAGTTTCTTGTAGATTTTCTTTATTTGTCGCACAGAAAAGTTTCCAAATTGTGCGGCATCCGCACAGTAAATTTTAACTCACTGGTATTCACCCGCCTATAACAAGCATATATATGTATGCTAGCTTTATTAAGGTCAAAAGAAATATTTATTGACAAGCTCTAGAACTCATCTTTTTTACTATTCTCATTGACATTCACCGTGTATCAAGGCATTTTCTGTATTGCGCTTCATTGATGATTGAGTACGTATACGTACGTACTCGTTTCTAGAATGATATAATGCGACCAATCAAACAAGCCATATAAAAATAAATATTGCTAAAATAAGGCTATGTATAATATAATGCGATTGAATACTAAAATAATACTAAGTTGAGCAAAAGGGTAATTGTACGCGGTAAATATATAAAAATGGTAATATTAAAAAAAATTCTAGAAAGTGGGGCAGATTCACATATTATCAACCAGTCAAGTCACGATCTAAACTGAAAAAAAGAAAAAAAAAAAATGCACAACATAAAAAAAAAAGTAATTTTTACCCCTTTTTTGAGTTATATTTAAAGAGACTAGTAAATAACTGGCAGTATATTGCGTAATACAATGATAATCATTAACTGCATAATCAAGTTTTGGCTAAACTTGCATGCATGTACGTTGCTTTTATATCATATTGCTCTTACCAGTATTCGAGGCACTTTTTGGCTTATAACTATTACGTGATCCCGCATTTAAAAATCATAAAATTATAGGCTTATAACGCTAATAAGGACTTACCACACCATGGTGTTACCTTTTTGAGATATGTACATACTTTACATAAGTTCACTTATGCATAATAATTGTTTTATCCAGCACTTGCATTAATATATCAATATTAATTCGCCAAAGCTGTTCTGCCACTTTCTAATTTTATACAAGCCTAACCGGATATGTATACATCCGTTTGATACGTTGGACTTGTGTGCTATAAAATTTAGAAAATATCAAACGCCAAACGACAACCAATAGTAAATTTTGATAGTTTCTTAATTCCATTTATTTTTCACCTTAGATGGATCATTGAAGTCATTGAAGGTTTATTATCTGATTACTCGTAGATCAATATATGAAATATACCGTATGAAATATACTGTTTAAAGCTTTAATAATGAACACGTGTAGTATATCTAACTACTGAATACAACCTTTTTGGGATCTAGATCGAAAATCATTGATGGATAGCGACGCCAAACCATGCTACAATTAGTACCCCATGGGTTCGACAAAAAATATAGAACCATGTGATACTAATTGGCACTTGGTTTTGACTATTTAAATAATATCGCTAGTTTCATGAACACAAAGGGTCGATTCACTAACACAAAGATCGAATTAGGAAGTTGGTTTCAGTTAGATCGTCGATAACGATAACAAATAAATGGTTTGGTTAAATGTGGGAATTTTTCTCAGAGTTATTTCTTACTCTCTTTTGTTTGTCAAATTTTCAAAATTTTTATTTTTTTTTCTTTTAACGAGTGTATACAAAATTTTTGATCATGGTAGACTTTCTAGAAAAAGTTGGTACTGATGTCGTAAACTTTTTCCAGGGTGATAGCTCATCACCTGCGGATATTCCAATGACCTTTGAACATGGATCATTCGCAAAAGTTAGGGAACATGTTTTCGCGAAATGGTATGTCAATGGGAAGGACTACTTTTATGCCGTTTCGGAGGCCATCTCTAATGCTAAGGAGGAAATCTTCATCGAAGATTGGTGGCTTTCTCCTGAATTGGTTAGTTTAATGGTTGATTTTAATATAATAAAAAAAAAAAATGTTATAAATAATCTCAATCCATTCAGAATTTTACAATGTGATTGATATATTTCCAAACTCGAGTTCTCAAAATCCATTTCCAGGTAGAACATAATTCCGGCAGAGTTAGCCACATTAGCTCAATGCTGGCTGATTCAATCGATATTATGTCTTTCGGGAAATCATTCTGGAAATTGGCTTTTAAATAAACCTTTACTTCAGTCTTCATAATTTATATTTAATTTTTAATTTGGAATCAGTATCTTCGTAGACCTCCTTATAAGAATGAACATTATCGACTCGATAAACTCCTTAAGAGAAAGGCGAAGGAAGGAGTAAAAATTTATGTTGTCCTTTACAAGGAACTGGAACAAGCCTTAACTTTGAACTCGAAACATAGTAAAAAGGTATTAATAGAAGAAATGGATGGAAATATTCTTGGTAATGGATGATAAATTTGATGTCCTTTGAGATATTTACGCATTTAAGTATTGATTATATATTGTATGTATAGTACAAAGACATCCTGACCATGGAATTGATGGTACCTTCTTTTGGGCGGTAAATTATTTCTTATTTTATTCTCTCGCATAATTTCATTATCAAATAATTCAATTTTCTGTTATATTTTAGCATCATGAGGTAATTTATTTTATATATATTTATAATTATATTTGAGCGTTTTCTTAGTTCGTAAAGCTATAGTCTCCTAAAATTTTCTTTGTTTAGAAAATTTGTGTCATTGATCGCCATATCGCCTTCATTGGTGGATTGGACTTGTGCTTTGGTCGTTATGATACTGGTAAACATCAACTTGCTGACTTTACTAAAATATCAGACTACTGCTCTATCTGGCCAGGTCAAGATTATTCTAACCCAAGGGTCGCCGATTTTCTTGAAGGTACGAATACTTACCTCGTTTGAATGTATTATCTAGTAGAATTTTTCATATTAATTTGCATATATTTTTTTAGTGAATAAATGGTCTTCAAAATTAATTGATAAAAATTATGTTGCACGTATGCCATGGCAAGACGTCTCAATGGGCTTCGTTAGTATCATTTTCATATGAATAATTATTTTCTTTGATTTTATAAATTGTATTTTCATCAACTTTTAATATTTATAGGTTGGAAAACCTGCACAAGACGTCGCCCAACATTTTATTCAGCGTTGGAACTTTATTAAAAAGAAAAAGAATGAAAATAAACCAATATACCCTGTTTTGATTGCAAAGTCCGATGCTCAGTACCATCGTGAATACCTAAAGGAACATTCCTCACTAAGAAGAAGATACACTTCTTGTGGAAAAGTCGTAGAATTACATCCAGACGAAGGCACTTGTAATGTTCAAGTTTTGAGAAGTAGTGCAGCTTGGAGTCTCGGTCTTGAAGAAACTGAGGTAATTTAATTGAACCTTTATTATGGTAATTATCATGTTGCATATTCTCATATTTGTAAAATATTTTCTTTTTCTTTCTAGCATTCTATTCAGAATGCTTACATTGATACCATTAAAAATGCTAAGCATTTTATTTATATCGAAAATCAATTTTTCAGTAAGTTTTTACCTATCCTTAGGACACATTATTATTTCTTTAAACCTCTTGTAATCATATTCATTTTGTTTTCACTTAGTTACTGCGACAAAAGAGTCTAAGGATTATCCTGTCGAGAATCTTATTGGAAAGGTAAAATATTTTTATTGAAATTGCATTAATTCATTCATTTGTTGTTTCATTCATATATTTCTTATAGGCTATTGTGGAAAGAATTTTACAAGCTCACAAGAATAAGGAAAAATTCAAAGTTATTGTCGTAATGCCATTGATTCCGGGTTTCCCCGCTGAACTTGATTCTTCTGATGCTGGTGTACCTCGGTAAGTGACATTATTATATTATTAATTTTAATCAAAAATTATTTATATTTTCGTTAACTAACTTTATTCTGCTAAATTAAGCCTTGTCATGCATTATCAATATCAGTCTATCTGTCGTGGAGGTTATTCTATTATCGAAACGCTAATTAAATCTGGTTGTGATAATCCACATGAATATATTGGCTTTTATTCACTTCGAAATTATGATAAAATCGTTCACCCGGCTGTCAAATTGGGTCGCGGTGTTCTCGAAGAAGAAATTGATGCTGCTCCAATCGAGCAGGCTTATGACAATCCGCATGTCGAACCAACTCTTAAAAATTACAAATATTCAAAATCCGACTCAGCTCATCACCATAATCCTCCTCCACGTATTAATGAAGAGGATTGCTCTTATGTTACCGAAGAGTTATACATTCACACAAAACTTTTGATCGCTGATGACAGAATTGTTATCATGGGTTCAGGTTCATTATATTTCAAATTTTATTTTCCTTAATGTTAATCATAAAGTTATTGCGAAATTGAATATTTTCTCGTGTAATTATCTATTATGAAGCCAATTTGAACGATAGGTCGCAAAATGGTGATCATGATTCTGAGATTGCAGCTCTTGTCGAAGACAGAAACTACATAAAATCTCGTATGGCTGGAAAAGAGGTATTTACTACAATTATGTTAAATCTAATATTGTTAAGCAATAAGAGCATAAGTTTCTAAGTATATAATACTGATTAAATGATTTACAGTGGGAAGCTGGAAAATTTGCTGCCACACTTCGTCGTCACCTCTTCAAGCAACATATTGGTTTAGAAATCAATGAAAGTCATGAAGAAGTGAACAATCACTCTCATCCACCACCTATTGAAGCAGATTACCCTGTTGATCACCTTAGTCATGCAGATAGAATTGTTGAGGATCCTGTCTCAGATGAATTTTATAAAAATCATTGGCATCATACTGCTTCTCAAAATACTGAGAGTTTCCGTAAAGTGTTTCATTGTTATCCAGATGATACTGGTAACTATTTTTATCGTAAATAAATGTGTGTTTTGAATAACATGTTATTAATTTTATCGTGACTTTCATTATTAGTTACAAACTGGGATGAATTTAAAGCATTTGTTCCGGATCGTACCAAGGTTCCACTCGGACACTTAACTGAATCGTCCAAACGAAATATGGAACAAACCAAAGCAGAGTTAAACAAGATCAAAGGCCATTTGGTTTTATTCCCATTGAATTTCCTAAGGGATGCAACGTTGTCCGGTTCTGTCGTATTTGATGCAGTTACTCCTATGGAATTATTTACTTAATTACTCGGACGTTTTTGTAATTACAATTAACTGAAACGTTGTCATTTAACACTTATTTAAATACTTTGATGTTTTTTTCTGTTATTGTAAATTATGTATATTCGTTTACGATAATGTAAATTTTTACATGCATTTTTACCTATTAAAAATGTGTATTATTTCTTTAGTATCACAAAGTTTTTGATTTTATGTAAACTTGTCTAGTTCAAATACTATATGATTCTAAAACAAATTAAGTATTTTACATATATTATTCTTGGCACAAAATGATTACAAGGTGGTAAGCTTAATCGAAATCTGAGGCAAAACTTGAATCATGTTTTATGTCGAACATAATAGAAAAGATCGGTTTTCTAACCTTTAATATGTGGAGTCCTTGCTTTGAAAAATCACCTTCCGACATTTAAGAGTGAGATAATTCGAACAAAAAACAAACATCAGTATCGGTCATATTGATATGTAAATCATCTTTTGCCATTGTTGATCCAATAGTTTATTCAATGAACTATTAAATCAATAAAGGTAAAAGATGATTTACACATAAACATGAATAGGCATTGGGGTTTTTTTTGTCCGATCGGAAATGTTGAAAGGCGACTTTCAAGGTAAAGACCCCATGTACCATAAATTGTCATATACAAGAAGACCCTCAGCTAGGTATAATAGATTTACTATTGTGGAGAGTCTTGTATACGACAGTAACTGGTTCATATAAAGTAAGCATTATAATTTTTCGCGACTGAATCTGAAATTGGACTTTTTTGACACGAAACTTTTTTAAGTTTTTTTTGGTTACATTTTTTAGGTTGATTTAGGATTGATGTTTATAATAAGAGAATATTAATGGAAAATCCTAATTTTCATTTTCAATTAGTAAGAGCAAAAATATGTATTGAATATTTTCATATTAGATAAAATATCATACAGATGGGCAAATGGCAAATATAATTATTATTAAATATAATACATATAAATTAGCCAATTAGACTAGGTTAAACTATTTATAGATAGATTTTAAAATATATGTATATTTTTATAATAATAATTGTGACTGAAGCTGGAAATTAGGAACTTCGATTTAAATTTATAAACCTTGCCAAAATCCACTTGTACTCTCTTATTATCAAAGCTAACCCTAAATTAGAACTTAACTATAGAAAAAAGCTATAAAAAAAAAGCATTCGAAATTTTTTTAATATCTCAAATATTTAAAATTCCAGCTTTAGCCGTTTTCAGCATGCCGCGACAATAATTATATTTGCTTACCTATACTATATTTTATCCTTAATATTAAATAAGTTTTTTTGAAGGCTAACTCGACTTTGTTGCTATACTCTTTATTGAAGAATACTTGCGTATTGATTACAGGACATTTTATATTAGTTTCATACCTTGAATAACCTATTCATTTGGTCATATGACCTTTTACTAAAATTATATCTAATGGTGGACCTTGATTTCTGGACTTAGGTTATCTAATATTCTGACTACAACCCAACTACATTTTTTTTACCATTACCTGGCCAACATATAACCACACTTGATTGGTTAATCAGAAGATAATAATATGTTATATTGACAATTCTTTAGAGTTTATACTATATAACTGTCAACTTATATGTTAAGTAATATTTAATTAATAAAAGCAATTGTCAAATTAATATAACAAATAAACTTGATAATAAATGTTCAAATCATTATTTAGTTATTAGTTTTAAGTGAAAAGACTTGGGTCTAAATTAAAGTGTTTATTTTGTTACTATAAAACGTTTAATAAATTATCTAATCAAAATAAAGTAAATTATTTAATCTATATACCTTGTAAGATAGTCAAATCCAAATTTGGACTAATATCAAAAAAATATGTATATATTACTAAATATATTAAATTAAAATATACTAAAGAATTTATCAGACTTACCAAAGTACAGCCTTTGCCAGAATTTTTTACACCAACCCAAGCCAATGCTGGATCAAGGTCTAATAGATAAATTAATTAAAAAAACCCAAATATAAATTAAATAATTACAGGCACTTATTTGTATTAATAATCAAACAAGTGTATAGTTGACAGCAAAATTATAAAATTGCAGCATTAGGTATTCAACTTAAAGTAGAATAAATTACTACATATATTTGAGAAGTTTATATTACCACAATGCATTATTTTCACATTGCGACATGCAGAATGCGGAGATTCCATCAATTAATTTTGCCATCAACTATAAAAGTGCCAACAATTCATTAACCATCTCTATATAAAATAAAAGTATATCTTACAATCACAACGATTCATAAACCAAGTCCCTGTATCAATCTCATTACCAATATCTAATGCGGCATTTTCATCCTTCGTCCAAATACTTGCAGTAAGGCCAAACTCTGAATCATTCATTAATTTAACAGCTTCTTCATCTGAAGATACCTATTTTGCAAATATATATGACATTGGCATTTCACATATAATAACAGAGTTACTATCACCTTACTTTCATTATTCCAATAACAGGACCGAAGCTTTCTTCTTTCATAACTCTCATCGAATGATCAACATTAATAAGAACTTGAGGTGCCATATAAGGTGTGCTTTTCTATCAAGAAACCAAAAGAACAATTGTATATTTATATTCTATCGACTTATAATTAGCTTCATAAAGTTCATCATACTTTATCCTCCGGAAATAATGCAATATCAATTAAAGACTTTGCTCCTTGATTAACTAAAAGATATCACTTAATTAGTAAAAAAATATACATAGCAACATATATTTACTTAACAACACATACTAGCTTCTTCAATCTGCTGGCGAACAAATTCTGCTGAACTAGTGCGAACCATAGGCCCAAGTGTCGTTTCAGGATCCAAAGGATTACCCAACTTGTATTGCTAAAGATTATAAATAATTTTACAATAGGTAATTAATCTTAAATTAAAAAGAATTTCAGAAACTATATCAACCTTTGTCAATTCAACAAATTTTTCTACAAAATGATCATAAACTTGTTCATGCACATAAATTCGCTCAATGGCACAACAACACTGACCACTGTTGAAGAAAGAACCATCAACCAACTGTTCTACAGTGTAATCCAAATCAGCATCGTGACGAACATAGGCCGGATCTTTTCCACCTAACTCAAGTCCGGTACCTAATCAATGTCACATAGAATTTAACAACATTAATAACCACAGAAATTTACTAATTGTATGTTATTATGATGCAAATTGTTTGTATTACCCATGAATTTAGAGCTTGCAGCCTTTTGAACTTCTCTTCCAGTTTTGACAGAACCAGTGAAGTTCACATAAGAAATATCAGGATGTTTTATAACATTTTCTGTATCGCTATTAGACATGTGCAAAATCTAATGGTTCACAGAATGGAAATATATATAGTAGACAGCTTGTAGGAAGATTTAAGACGTACATTTATTTAAAAAATTATCACACCTGAAATACATTTTCAGGAAGACCGGCTTCTTTAAAAGCCTCCTCAAATCTTTCCGCACATAAAGGAGTGTGCGGGGAGTGCTTCAGGATAACGGTATTTCCTGATTTGAAATCTTTAATTTTTTATATATTAATCAAATTTTTGCATGAGACCTTTTTAAATACCTGCGAGAATTGCCGGAATAACACCATTCACAGATGTCAGATATGGATAATTCCAAGCTAAAATTTAAACATAAAAAAATTATTAGGTGTTAAATATAAAATAAATTAATCAATTTATCTTTTACAAACCTGCAATAATTAGAATTGGTCCTGTTAAAAATAATGGATAATAGCTGTGAATTAAACAAATATTTAAATGTTGATGTATTAAAGAATCAAAAGTTTAAATAAAAAGTTGTACCCAAAGGTTCTTTACGAATAAATCTATGGAATCCAATTCTGTCGTCCATAATTTCAACATCCTTGAGATTTTCTTCGGCAATAGAAATCATATATCGTGCTCTCTCGGCAGTAACATTAACTTCACCACCAGTATATCGGATAGGTCTACAAGAGATTTATTATTCTTTAATTCTCGATAAACTATAAGAAGTTTTGTCTTCATTTAAATGTTACCAACCTTCCCATTTGTAATGTTATTTCTTTAGCGATATCATCTTTTCTGGCAACAAAAGAATCAACGAATTTGGAAACAATATTTGCACGTTCTTTGATAGGAACTTTTTTCCAAGAAGAAAAAGCTTTCTTTGAACGCTCAATTGCCTCACAAATTTGTTCAGTCGTGGCAAAAGTACGTGTCACATAAACCGTGTTATCAATAGGTGAAATTGTTACTTGTTCAGGCATGAGTTATTTCTGTCGAGCCATTTTTTTTAATTTTCTACTTTAAATTGCATTAGATTACATGATCGACATTAAATTTATCTTTTTCTATACGATATGGAAGTCATCCCAAACGTACAGCTCAAGGGTTAGTTAATAATGAGGTTAGAACTCAGCTTCCCGAAATAGTTAGTGAAAGCTTACTTCGAAAGACAAAAGAAAGAGCTCAGAAAATTTACGATATTTTTAATGAAATAGGTATAGATAAGATTCAACGAATTCGGTCTTTTACAGCTACAACAATAGCAAATATATCTCAGGATGATATTGGCCAAACTTTCGATAAATAATCCATCATGTAGTCACGTGATGTTGTGACAAGCTGTCACAATCTATGTAATAAAATTTAATCGTGTTAGCATTTATGTATAAATGCGCCTAATTTTAATAAAGTATTTTGGTTTGTCCGCCGGGCTTAATGTTAACTTTGAAGCATGGTAAAAAATTCTCCTGCTTATGCATAATTTATTTGAGACGGGGCATAGACACATGCCACACACTATAGGTTTGTATGTTGTAACGGGTAATATGTCGAGTTCAGAGATGGGGCAAATGCGACGGATTGTCGCTAGAAAATCGGTTATGCCGCGTAACGTTCCTCAAAGATAATAGAGGCGGTTTTACGATTTGGCACAA